GACCATCTGTCCGCCAACTGAAGCTCCGCAGAGGATGGGTGATGCAACACAATGACCCAAAGCATACAAGTAATTCAACAAAACAATGGCTGCAACAGCACAGAATACGCCTTCTGGAGTGGCCCAGTCAGAGTCCTGACCTCAACCTGATTGAAATGCTGTGGCGTGACCTTAAGAGAGCGATAAACCATGGCAACATCTAATGTTTGTGTAGTATTATGTTCAGCAGACTGTGTTCTTCTATTGTTGTGACTTAGATGACGTTCAGAGCACATTTTATGCCCAAATCATGCAAAACTCCACGTAATCCCAAGGGGTTCACATACTTTTTCTTGCAACTGTAATAGCAAAGGTCCGTGTTGTGTGTACTGTGGGAGGACATATATAGTGGATGCAGGGTCCTGGATTCAGTAACCTGCATATGCCCAGATTGTCTTCAGCGCATTTACTGCAAAGATGCTTCACAGGTATAATTACATTTTATTAGAGTCATTTGTATCCTCAAAACAAGTCATTCTTGATTAGTAAGTGCCTAGGCTCGTCTAGGAGGGCTCCTCCCTGCACAGAAAATCACATGGCACTGTATTTCAGTAGGTTTCTGGTGAATAACAAAACCATTCATCTGGTCTTAAAGCAGTATTGAACCTGTAATGAACCTGTAAGCAAACATTTATTATATTGCAGCTTCCCAATTCTTTGAAGTGATGGCTGCATTTGTTTTCTTTTGTAAGCACATTCTTCTATATTCATCTGGTGATCTGGCCAGTAAGTCTGTTGTTTTTCAGAAAAATGTAGCAAATGTTCAGTTACATGGTTGGGACAAACCATTTAACACTGACGGGTGCTTACACTGATCAGATTTTATTTATTCATGTAAAACCTTTATCCTAAAAGGAAAAAAAATGTATGCTGTAACTGATTGTAAAGTATTAGCTGGAGTTTGGTTCTCCGCTGACAGCTGAATGTAAACAAAACATTTGCCGGCAATTAAAAAAAATCAGAAAAAAAAAAAAAACTTGGGCTCCCCCCAATCCCTACCAGGCCCTTTGGGGGGCTTGCTTGTCCCCTCCCTTTCCTGGCCTGCCAGGCTACATGCTTGGATAAGGGTCTGGTATGGATATTGGGGGGGGGGGCACATCTTTTTTTTTCCTGATTTTTTGATTGTCAGCAATTGTTTTGTTTACATTCAACTGTCAGCGGGGAACCCTGCTGACAGCTGATGACTCTTCGGTTGTTAAGGACGCGGCGGCCACCTGCTCCCTTACAACCATGTTGTCTACTGGTTGGTAAGGATGCCATTGGCAGCCCACTCCTTAACAACCAGCTTAAAGTCACACAAAACGCAAAATCCAACATGCATAAAAAACGCAACACTTGCGTTTTTGGTCCAGTTCCATTGAAGTCTATTACACACAAAACACAATCTGCTCCAGGAAAAAAGTCCTTGGCCCTTTCAAAAATCCGCACTGGCACAGATGTGAGCTAGATCCATAGGAAATCATGTTAACTGGACTTTAGTATTTTTCTGCTAACCAAGAAAAGCACTGAAATCATTGTAAGTGGGAACCTATCCTAAGAAAAGAAGATTTCAGAGCTCAATAAACTTTTGTCTCCCTCTGAAGAGCAATCCAATAATCCAAGCGCTTGAGAGGCAGTGAGGACCATGTTGGAACTGTGTGCATAGCACACAGTTGCAGCACATTTGTGCTGCATCTACATTCAGTTGAATGGGTCATTTTCAGTGAGCAGTACAACAATGAGGATAAATAGGTATTGCTACCATGGAATATGTACACCCCCATCCACTGCCTTTGCAGCTAGGGGGCTGTTGGAAAGTGGTAAAAATGCAGCTCAGCTATGTGATTTTACCCTCCAGGCCTAAAACTCTGTATATGTCACTTTTGCTAAAACGTTTGGTCTGCATATAAATTGGGAGAAAAGGTGCAAGAAATGGGAAAAAAAAAATCATATACTGAATTATTACAGATATTAACTCTTTATTACTCTTAGTTCTTCTGAGAGGCCAGGGAAGGAAACAGAGCTATGGTGTCATTAAAATCCAGAAGGGGGTGGATATGCGGGGACCACGCAAATCAGTACATTCCTGCATCTTGTGTTAGTGCAGCATGCATTCATTGGCATTCATCTTGTGGACTAGGGCTAATCATTTTGAAAAATACCTACATGAACATGTGCTGAAATGCATGGCAGCCATGTGAATTTGAGAATTAATTTCTCCTGAATTCCTATAGCTACAGAGGTAACAGCTTGCTGGTTCATGCCACAACACGCATATGAGTCCATTGACAAAAGCTGATCACAAGTGTTGTTCTGTAATTCATTTATTCATGTTGCAGTACTTTTAATTTTGCTATTTTTTTTCTAAGAATTACCTTACTTTTTTAAAATGTGCTACAATCGGATAAATTGGTGCCTGCCTCATTTGTTTTTGGAGTATGTCAATGCGTTGGTGTGCTGGCACAATAGAAAATAGGGCTTTCTGCCTTATATATGTGTTAGGACTGCGTTGACCAACACAGCTGATCAGTACAGAGAATCAGGGCCACTTCTTGCAGCAACCAACCATAAAGCAGGTGCTATGACGATCAGATAGTTGGAAATAAAATCAAAAGAATACAAAATCACCAGCATAGTATCTTCAAAATGCACCCGGGACATTAATTCATTACACAGAAAGTGATGTTTTGAGGCCACTAAGGACCTATCACTACTGCCTGAGGAAGAGGTCCTTACTGGGTGGAACTTAGTGGGTGGTCACCTAAGCAGGGGCGGACTGACCATTTGGAAACTCGGGCACTGCCCGAGGGCCCGGGTCAGTAGGGGGCCCCATGAGATGCCCCTGGTACCTTTTTCATAGGCTTTTTTGAGTTTGGGAAAGGACCAGGGGCCCCATGATGCCCTATTGCCCAGGGGCCCCATGAGTTGTCAGTCCGCCCCTGCACCTAAGAGATCCTTACTGGGTGGTCACCTTCTGTGTGTCACAAATAATTGTTCGAGATGCATTTTTAAAGATATTTTGGTGATCTTGCATTCTTTGGACCAATGCAAGCCAATGCATGGGGTGTGAACAAACCCTAAGGGTCTTTTCATGCAACTGATCAGGTTTCACTTTCAGTTTTTCAGGTGACCCTGATCAGAAGCACCATGCACCTCTATGGGCAGGTAGATGTGAACAGACTTTGTGTCCGTGTACACCTGCCTACCTCCAAGTCCATTCAGATCGAAAGAAAAAAACAGAAAAGCACTGTATCCTTTTCTGTTTTTCTGGAACTAAATGTGACAAATCAGAGGTTGCCTGATCTAAATGGATACAAGTCTGTTTACATAGAGTAATTGTGGGTCTGTCCCTGTCCACTGTGTAAATGGAGACAAACTGGATGGGCACAGATGTTAACAAAAAATTACATCCATCCCATTCTGCTGCAATTCATTATGGGATCAGCTCATGAATCCTCTGCTGAAGAGAGCGGAGCAGCGACACGTGAAAGAGTCCTAAGCTCATGGATCCCCTGCTGAATGGAGTGGCTCCATGTGAAAGAGCCCTAAACTCATGGATCCCCTGCTGATCCCCGCTCATGGATCCCCTGCTGAATAGAGTGACTCCATGTGAAAAGCCCCCTGCTGATCCCCCCTCATGGATCCCCTGCTGAATGGAGTGGCTCCATGTAAAAGAAAAGCTCCCCTGCTGATCCCCCCTCATGGATCCCCTGCCAAATGGAGCAGCTCCATGGAGCATGGATCCCCTGCTGAATGGAGCGGCTCCATGTAAAAGAGCCCTAAGCTCATGGATCCCCTGCTGATCCCCCCTCATGGATCCCCTGCCAAATGGAGCAGCTCCACGTGAAACAGCCCTAAGCTCATGGATCCCCTGCTGAATGGAGCGGCTCCATGTGAAACAGCCCTAAGCTCATGGATCCCCTGCTGAATGGAGCGGCTCCATGTGAAACAGCCCTAAGCTCATGGATCCCCTGTTGATCCCTGTTCATGGATCCTCTGCTGAATGGAGTGGAGTGGCTCCATGTGAAAGAGACCTAAGCACCAAACACTTTCAACATGGTAACATGTGGAACAACATGCACATTCCCACACAACATGTTATCATGTCATGATGACAGTAATTGTAAATGACACCCCAACACACTAAGGCACATGTGGCCGTCCAACTATTGTGTGTCCCTTCTGGTCCAGTTGAAAGTGATAGTAAAGTCCAAATTTTTATTTATACCTACAGGTGAGCCTATGACAAGGAACACCATTTAGGAGATAGTTACTTTATTAGCAGCCGGTGACGTCAGTGGCCCATATGCACTGCATTCTCAATAGACGGCATGTTAATAGTTAAAGTGTTACTAAACCCACAACAGTAAAATCGGTCTGTATATGCAGTAATGCATGCTTGTTATGCTCACTGTGGAACCTAAGGGGTTAATCCTCTCTATTGTCTAAAAAGTCTGTTTGATCCTGTCTTCTCTGCCCCTCCTCTTGTTCAAATGTCATCATCTTATCTCCTGATCAGACTGAACCGTAGCCACAAGTACATGCTCAGTTTAGTGTGTATTGCTAGGTTTTTTTTTCTTGGGAGAGTGCATGTGATCAGCACAGGGCCAATCAGCACTGTCCAGACAGAGGGTCAGGGGTTCTGCATCCTCCTAGAGCAGAAAGAAAACTCCTACTACAAGCTTTAACCAGTGCTCTGCTGAAGTCACAAGACTGCTCTAACTGCTGATGAGAAAAGGTATTTAGCAGTTTATATTTACTATAATAATTGCATTTCCATGTTCTGTGTACCGTGAGAGACCAGATATAGTTAATGCAGGGTCCGGGGAGACCAGATATAGTGAATGCAGGGTCCGGGGAGACCAGATATAGTGAATGCAGGGTCCGGGGAGACCGCCGGGCGTTGTGAGCCGGGGAGACCGGATATAGTGAATGCAGGGTCCAGGGAGACCAGATATAGTGAATGCAGGGTCTGGGGAGACCAGATATAGCGAATGCAGGGTCCAGGGAGACCGGATATAGTGAGTGCAGGGTCTGGGGAGACCAGATATAGTGAGTGCAGGGTCCGGGGAGACCAGATATAGTGAATGCAGGGTCCGGGGAGACCGGATATCGTGAATGCAGGGGCCGGGGAGACCAGATATAGTGAAGGCAGGGTCTTGGGAGACCAGATATAGTGAATGCAGGGTCCGGGGAGACCAGATATAGTGAGTGCAGGGTCCGGGGAGACCGGATATGCAGGGGCCGGGGAGGGACCGGGGAGACCAGATATAGTGAAGGCAGGGTCTTGGGAGACCAGATATAGTGAATGCAGGGTCCGGGGAGACCAGATATAGTGAGTGCAGGGTCCGGGGAGACCGGATATAGTTAAGGCAGGGTCTTGGAAGACCAGATATAGTGAATGCAGGGTCCGGGGAGACCAGATATAGTGAAGGCAGGGTCTTGGGAGACCAGATATAGTGAATGCAGGGTCCGGGGAGACCAGATATAGTGAATGCAGGGTCCGAGGAGACCGCCGGGCGTCGTGAGGCGGAAGTGGAAGCAGGTACCTGTCGAAACCAGATATTCGCTCCCCCCCCCCCCAAAATGTGCCAAATGTGGCAGTGGAGGGAGGCGGAGCTTCCACTTTTGGGTGGACCTCCGCATTAAGGCATGAACGTGTATAAACATGTCTGCAATACGCAGTGTACTGGTTTTATAAGCAGGTTTTCTCCTGTCAGCAGAAAAGGCACTCAGAGGTGCTGAGCAGACACCTGGTATGTATGAGGCCTGACCTCTTATCACTGACAGTGGAAGTAAAACAAATATTTGGGGTTGACACCAAAACTGTCATAGAGGTTATATCTTCCCATGGTGACAACAGTTCTGGTGATACTGGGGGATTCCCTCACTTTAGAGGGATTTCCTCTCACTTCCTGTTTGGCTCTGAGACAGGAAGTGAAATCTCACTTCCTGTTTGGCTATGAGCAGGGGCGGACTGACAACTTATGGGGCCCCCGGGCAATAGGGGATCATGGGGCCCCTGTGTCCTCACCCACACCCAAAAAAGCCTATGAAACAGCCAATGAAAGGTACCAGAGGCATCTCATGGGGCCCCCTAATGACCCCGGGCCCTAGGGCAATGCCCGAGTGCTCGAATGGTCAGTCCGCCCCTGGCTATCAGACAGGAAGTGAAGGGAAATCTCCCCAATGGGACAAGACTGCCAGGTGAGGGATGATTGTTCCTTTCCTCTGTCCAGAATAAATAAAGGTGCTGGCTGTAGTTCTCCGTTAATGGAGCGCGCAGTGACATGGGAGTGGAGAGATTTCTGGCTCACAATGATGTACTTTATTGTCACGACGTCACCGTACTGCGACCTCTTCCCTATTAATATGCCCAGCACACACTCCCGGGCAGCGCCATACGGTTGTTGTCAGGCTCCGCCCCCCGATTGCATCACGCCGTGAGGTCCCGCCTCTCTGCCATTTTTCGCCATCTTGATTACCTCGTGTTGGAGCGGAGCTGTTTGGTGAGGGTTCCTTTGTGGCGGGTGAACGGTGGGTGGCGGGCAGTGTGCGGGGCTGTTTCCCCGGTGAGGGGAGGGGGGCGGACAGTGTGCGGGGCTGGCAGTGTCCCGGCCGAAGGGGCCGCACTCTCTGTTGTCGGTGTCCGGGAAGCGCGGGGCTCCCTGGGAAATCCTCCCATTGTAGGCCTCGTCCTGTCTGCTGGATCTTGTGGTTCCCCCTCGGCCGGTGCTGTCCCGGCCCAGTCACCGGGGGCTCTGATGTCCGGTATAGGCCGGGGACGGAGGAGGTGACCCGGAGCGGTCTATAGATCTGGATGCATCCCCCCTCCCCCGGCTGTCTGTGCGAGACCGGCCCGGAGTGTCCGCGCTGGAGGTCACCATGGGGAGGGGACTACATCGCTATAGAATGGGGGGTCCGTAGCCCAGGGAGAGGGGAGGAAGCGAGCCGCAGTCGGGGGAGGGGTGCAGCGATTCACATGGGGTTGTGGGGAAATGGGGTTGCAGAGATCCACATTTGAGGGGGGGGGGGGGGGGGTGCAGAGATCCACATTTGAGGGGGGGGGGGGGGTGCAGAGATCCACATTTGAGGGGGGGGGGTGCAGAGATCCACATTTGAGGGGGGGGGGTGCAGAGATCCACATTTGAGAGGGGGGGGGGTGCAGAGATCCACATTTGAGAGGGGGGGGGGTGCAGAGATCCACATTTGAGAGGGGGGGGGGTGCAGAGATCCACATTTGGGGGGGGGGGGGTGCAGAGATCCACATTTGGGGGGGGGGGGTGCAGAGATCCACATTTGGGGGGGGGGGGGGGGTGCAGAGATCCACATTTGAGGGGGGGGGGGTGCAGAGATCCACATTTGAGGGGGGGGTTTAGGAATCTACATTTGAGGAGGGGGGGCTGTAGGCATCTGGGAGAGTAAAAGATGGGAGTGTAGGGATCCAGGTGAATTGGGGGAGTGTAGACTAGAGAGCTATGCTTGAGGGGGGAGTGGGCTGACTCACACATGCGCGGTGCGGATTGAAGCTCAGGTTTCACAGCTAATTGATTCAGTGGTTCATGTCAGGTTTACATCAGGTTCAGGACAGGATTAGCTCAGGATTTTATCCTGTTCACACATTTGGTTTAGTAACGGTTCCCATAGAAGTCAATAGCCTGTAATCTGCACCTGAACCGGACCGCACTGCTCAGCAATCATACATGACTCTTTCAATCCTCACTGAATCCGCACTGCCAGTGCACCAGACATATGTGAACGTGCACCATAGGAAGCAATGTTTTTTTTCACATGTCATACGGATTGGATGTGGTTCAAAATGCATCCAATCGCATATATGTGAACTGGCACTTAAATGGACTCTGTGATAAGAGAGGTGTGTGGCTGCCATTGCTGGCCCTCTTGAAACTACCAGATTTCTGGCTGTGCCTGCCTTCAGTGCTCTGTGGCAGACCAGGGACTAGCATGATGTAAAAGGGAAAATCAGAAAGCTTTGATTTCTGCATCCCTGCTTGTGCAGGACAGGTACTTAGAATCTCCGTGTTTACTGACCTATTTATTACTGCCTGGCTTCCTCTAAATCCTTATACTAAAGTGACTGTGTGACATCATCCTCCTCCTGACTAATGCACATATGTAACAGGCCAAGGTTGTGTGCATAGAGCAAACTCGCATCACATGGACCAGGGTGTCACCGGCAGCTGTCAGTCACTGCTTCTCATGTGACCCTTGTGAGAGCCAATCATAGTAGTTTTGCCCCTGGTTCATATATATGCGGCCATGTTGGGCACGAGAGCCCATTCATTTGATTGGACTCCTGTGCCCTGTGATATGCAGAGAAGTTGTCCCTGCATTTCTGAAAACGCAGCCCGCACAGGATTCTCGGTTGCAGTTTCCAGTGCGTGCGGCGTGCCATTAGATCTAATGGCACCCGCCCGTGTGTCCGCATTTCTCTGTGCGGGTGGTGCAGCTGCGTAGATTTTCGTGCGGATCCACAGCGGCACCACCCGCACATATGTGAACCTAGCCTTAGGGCTCGGTCAGGACAGTTCTTTTGAGCTGCACAGCCTGGGCACACCACAACGCTGCCTTGGGTGCAGGTTGTAGTGCATCACCTAAAAATACAACCAATATTTCCACAACACGTCGGAGGTCAGCTGAAGTCACTGTTGGTCACCAATCTACTGAGATGGATAAAAGTGTAATTTCATCACACCACTAAAGCTAAGATAAAAAGTGAACATGGTCTTGTGTTCATACATCCGTGTGGCCTGGTGTGCATGAGCTCTAAATCTTCACACTTCAGCGATTTTCAGCTTTTTTTTTTTTTTTTTTTTTAAGCACGTTTTAGAAGCAATTTTCAAGTGTTTACATGTGTATTCATGCTTAAAGGGTAAGTTAACCTATGGGAACATGTTACACGTTCTGCCCATTTTTAGGGTGGAACATGTAACATGTTCTCATTCTTGCAGCATCTCCCTGTTCTGCTGCATCTAGTGACAGCTAGTTGGGGATCTTGTCCCCCTGCTAGCTGTCACTACAAAAAAAAAAAAACCCAGCTGTGCGGGGCTCCGCCCACCAACCCGTGTCATTCATTCACAGAGTTCCGTGAAGGGGAAGCTATAAGTCCTGACAGCCTTTGCGGCTGTCAGCTTGTAGTTTTCAATAAACTACCAGGGTGCTGTTGAGTGCTGTGGCAGTTCATGGTCTCTTCCTGTAAGTGTGTATCTGTCTGCCTGTACAAGTGCACAGATACAGGTCTGCAGGAGTCCTGCATGGCACCAGCGATCTGCTATCCAGGCTCCTAGTGTGAGGAAAAAAAATGAGCATTTATTATTTTTTATTTACCTGCAAAAAGATGTGCATTTTTTTTTTTAAAGGTGAACTTATCCTTTTAAAGTGTTACTAAACCCACAACCGTAAAATCACTGTATCTAAAGCATGCTTGTTATACTTGCTGTTGAACCTAAGGGGTTAATCGTCTGCATTGTGTAAAAAAAAAAAAAAAAAAAAAAAAAAGCCGTTTGATCCTGACTTCTCTGATCCTCCCCTTCCGATGTCCCCCTCCTATCTCCCGATAAGACGTGTGTGGGGTCGCACTGCACATGCTCAGTTTGGTGTGTATTGCTAGAGGGTTTTTTTCTTGGGAGTTTTTTTTTCTTGGGAGAGTGCAGGTGATCAGCACAGGGCCAATCAGCTCTGTCCAGACAGGTCAGGGGTTCTGCATCCTCCTAGAGCAGAATACAAACTCCTACAAGCTTTAACCATTGCTTTGCTAAACACTGGTAGAAGTCACAAGACTGCTCTAACTGCTGATGAGAAAAGGTATTTAGCAGTTTATATTTACTAAAATAATTGCATTTCCCTGTTCTGAATGGTCCGGGGAGGGAGACCAGATATAGTGAATGCAGGGTCTGGGGAGACCAGATATAGTGAATGCAGGGTCCGGGGAGACCAGATATAGTGAATGCAGGGTCCGGGGAGACCAGATATAGTGAATGCAGGGTCCGGGGAGGGGAGGGAGACCAGATATAGTGATATAGATATAGTGAATGCAGGGTCCGGGGAGACCAGATATATGTGAATGCAGGGTCCGGGGAGACCAGATATAGTGAATGCAGGGTCCGGGGGAGACCAGATATAGTGAATGCAGGGTCCGGGGAGACCAGATATAGTGAATGCAGGGTCCGGGGAGACCAGATATAGTGAATGCAGGGTCCGGGGAGACCAGATATAGTGAATGCAGGGTCCGGGGAGACCAGATATAGTGAATGCAGGGTCCGGGGAGACCAGATATAGTGAATGCAGGGTCCGGGGAGACCAGATATAGTGAATGCAGGGTCCGGGGAGACCAGATATAGTGAATGCAGGGTCCGGGGAGACCAGATATAGTGAATGCAGGGTCCGGGGAGACCAGATATAGTGAATGCAGGGTCCGGGGAGACCAGATATAGTGAATGCAGGGTCCGGGGAGACCAGATATAGTGAATGCAGGGTCCGGGGAGACCAGATATAGTGAATGCAGGGTCCGGGGAGACCAGATATAGTGAATGCAGGGTCCGGGGAGACCAGATATAGTGAATGCAGGGTCCGGGGAGACCAGATATAGTGAATGCAGGGTCCGGGGAGACCAGATATAGTGAATGCAGGGTCCGGGGAGACCAGATATAGTGAATGCAGGGTCCGGGGAGAGACCAGATATAGTGAATGCAGGGTCCGGGGAGACCAGATATAGTGAATGCAGGGTCCGGGGAGACCAGATATAGTGAATGCAGGGTCCGGGGAGACCAGATATAGTGAATGCAGGGTCCGGGGAGACCAGATATAGTGAATGCAGGGTCCGGGGAGACCAGATATAGTGAATGCAGGGTCCGGGGAGACCAGATATAGTGAATGCAGGGTCCGGGGAGACCAGATATAGTGAATGCAGGGTCCGGGGAGACCAGATATAGTGAATGCAGGGTCCGGGGAGACCAGATATAGTGAATGCAGGGTCCGGGGAGACCAGATATAGTGAATGCAGGGTCCGGGGAGACCAGATATAGTGAATGCAGGGTCCGGGGAGACCAGATATAGTGAATGCAGGGTCCGGGGAGACCAGATAGATATAGTGAATGCAGGGTCCGGGGAGACCAGATATAGTGAATGCAGGGTCCGGAGAGACCAGATATAGTGAATGCAGGGTCCGGGGAGACCAGATATAGTGAATGCAGGGTCCGGGGAGACCAGATATAGTGAATGCAGGGTCCGGGGAGACCAGATATAGTGAATGCAGGGTCCGGGGGAGACCAGATATAGTGAATGCAGGGTCCGGGGAGACCAGATATAGTGAATGCAGGGTCCGGGGAGACCAGATATAGTGAATGCAGGGTCCGGGGTTTAGCAATACTAAACCTTTTGCATTAGCCAGCTGAAAGCACTGGGGAGTGGAGGCTAGTTCGTACAGGTTAAAAAATGCCTATGAAAAAAAAACCTGATTTGCACATTTTTGAGGAGTTCCCATTGAAGTCTGTGGGGCGAGAAATGTCCAAATCCATCCCAAAAGCTGCTTATGGAGGGACTGGCATTGAGCTACAGGTGACGGAACACTCGTGAACAGCCACCATTGACACACATGTGGTTTTGAGTTAAAAAAAAAATGCTCAGATGTGACTGGGGCCTTGGTGTTTGCATGATTTCATTTACGTGTTCTGGTCATGTACAATGTTTGACTTTGCTGCCTGCTTCTATCTGCTCTAGTACACCCAACACAGAAGGATACACTTTCAAAAAGCTACATTTTATTTTCAACTGAATCCAAGGAGATTGGAGAATTAGTCACATGGCCACAAATGGATAATGTGTGAAGCTTTGTGAATAGAAAAGAAACAGGTTGTTAGAGTACATTGGGGGTTTGTTTTCCAGCAGCCCTTTTAGAATTGTACTGACCATATGATGACCTGTCAGTTGGAACGTGCTGATGAGGTGCTTCTATTTTTATCTGTCCTCCATGAAATACTACAATGGACGGAGCGCTGTACAGCAGAGGGAACATATCTTTGGTTTTGCTTCCAGCATTTTAGTATAATGAGGATATAGAAGTCAGTATTTATACCCTGGTCCATCCAGATCAACCGCCTTCTGAAGTTGTATCATTTTCATAGCCAAGTTTTTATATCCACTCTCTTGAGAAATATCAGTTGTCTGCAGCATAATCATAGGTTAGTAAGGACAGTGGAACTATTATTTATTTATTACAGGTGCTTATATAGCGCCGTCAATTTACGCAGAGCTTTACATATATAGTACATTCACATCAGTCCCTAACCCTCAAGGGGTGTACAATCTAAGGTCCCTAACTTACATTCATACATACACATACTAGGGCCAATTTAGACAGGAGCCAATTAACCTACCAGCATGTCTTTGGAGTGTAGGAGGAAACCAACGCAGTCACAGGGAGAACATGCAATCTCCAGGCAGGTGGTGCCGTGGTTGGAAACCAGCGACCCGGACCATTTAGCCACTGTGCTGCCCATACACTGCATCTGAACACCAAAAACTCTATTTATTTCATTTTTAATAATCAAAGCAAACTCCCCCATCCATTTCTCCATGCTTTGTTTTTCTGAGAAATCACTTAGAAAAAACACCCCTAGCATTTCTGGTTGTTGCCATTTTGAGTAAGGGCAGGTTCATGTAGCAATTCCTGGAATCCATCTGCCCTTGGTTCAGGCATGCAGGCAGGAGGGTGTGCTTAACTGGGAAAACCCCTCTCCTCCTAAAAGACTCCTGGGATGTTTAACATCCTTTTCGTAGGCATGGAATGTAGGCAGTGACTGAAGAAATGTAAAAAATAGAAGTAAATACGATGTACTTTCCTGTTTTAAACTATTTACTAATTAGCAGCATAAGGATTCAAAGTAGTCAATGTTGATTGAGAATGAAGTTCCACTTTAAAGGCTTTTTTCTTTTAATAACAAACACATCATGCTTACCTGCTCTCTGCAGTGGTTTTGCACAGAGCAGCCCAGATCCTTCTTGGGTCCCCTGCTAGCACTCCTGGCCCCTCATTGTCTGTTGTCCCCACAGCAAGCAGCTTGCTATGGGGGCACCTGCTGCACCATGTATCCATTCACACATGGAGCTGTGGCTTCTCCCAACCCCCTCTCATTCTCATTGGCTGCAATTGGCGGCAGCCAATGGCTTCTCGCTGCTGTCTCAGCCAATGAGAAGAGGGAGTCCTGGGGTTGCAGAGACTCCAGCACACATCGCTGGATTGAGAGGGAGCATTGGGGGGGGGAGGGGGGCTGGGGGAGCTGCTGCACTGAGGTTTTCTTACTTTCATGCATAAAGGTAAAAAACCTTAAGCCTTTACAACCACTTTAATAGCTCTTGGCTACGATCACACCTGTATGTGTGCTTTTCAGGAATTTTTGGTGTGGTGTTCATGTGTTTTTGGAGGCCCACACAGCTCACTGATTTTGAAATGTGAGCAGCTGCGGGGGTGAGAGGAGCTGCTGATTGCCTGGCTATTTTGTTGATCTAAAGTGTTACCGAACACAAAATCAGTCTGTATATGCAGTAAAGCATGCTTGTTATACTCACTGTGGAACCTAAGGGGTTATCCTCTGCATTGTGTAAAAAGGCAGTTTGATCCTGTCTTTTCTGATTTTCCCCTTCTACCATTCCCAATCCATCTGCTGACAGAACAGAGCCTTTGGTTGCAAGCTGCACATGCTCAGTTTAGTGTGTACAGCCAGACAGGGGTGTCAAGCTGGCGGCCCTCCAGCTGTTGTGAAACTTCAAGTCCCATCATGCCTCTGTCTTTGGGAGTCATGCTTGTAACTGTCAATCTTGTAATACCTCTTGGCAATAGGTGGAGGGCCTGCCAGTTTGACACCCGTGGGCTAGAGAGATTTTTTTTTTTTTTTTTTTTCCCTTGGGATGTGATCAGCACAGCACCAATCAGCACTGTCCAGACAGGGTCAGGGGTCCTGCAGCCTCATAGGGCAATCGGGGGGCAATGAAAACTCCTACAAGCTTTAACGAGTGCTCTGCTGCACACTGATGGTGATCACAAGACTGGTCTAACTGCTGATCAGAAAGTATTTAGCAGTTTATATTTACTAAAATAATTTCTCATAGTACAGTTATTTTAGGGAGTAGCCATGGGGCCAGCCCTGTTATCTTCTAAGCCAGTCTTTGTCATGAGATTTCAAGATGTTGTTTGAGCAATTGCTGCCGCTCAGATAAGTAATCACTGTCACCAGTCTTTTCAGCTTTAAGAAGGGGGTTTCTTCCAACTGACCACATATGAAACCGCCTTCCCAGTGAGCATTGTGTCAATGAACTGTAAGGCGTAGATAAGCGTAGTTATTGGCCAAATGAAAGCACCTGTACTTAAAGTGAATCCAATTTTTTCCCCTAAAATTATGTTATGCTTGCTTTCCTCCTGTTGGTGATCCCCCACTGGCACTGTCTGTTCCTTCTACACCAGTTACTTAAGCAAGCTGGGGGTTCAGGTGTGTTTGTGCGCACCCCTGAGCTGGGCTTTGTGTTTCCATAGATGCACACAGCGTTGGCAAACCACGTCCCCCACTCCCTCTTCACAGAATGGCTCCTCCCCTCCACCATGCCCCTATAGCAAGCAGCTTGCTATGGGGGCACTCGCACAGGCTGTGGCGCACTCTGTGTGTCCATGGACTCCGAGCATGTCTCGGCACCCACCCCTGCCCCTCTGATCTCTCCTCACAGGCTGTGATTGACAGCAGCAGGAATGACTTCTGGTGTTGCCTCTGTCCAGTGAGGGGAGAGAGGGTGGAGAGCCCCGCTGCTCTCAGGCAAAGCGCTGGTTCGAGATCAGGCTTAGGTGAGGGGGCTGGGGGGGGTACATACAAGAGGTTTTTTTACTTTAATACAGATGCATTTTTTGTTTTGGTTTTTTTTTTTTCTCCTTTAAGTATACCTAGACCTGCTCTTTTATTTTATTTTTTTCTGACTGTGACATTGCTTGTCGTTATTGGTTAACTGCTGTGTATCACTTAGTTTTGCTAGAACAGGTGGGAAGACACCAAGGCTCCATTTACACTAAGGCGTTTCAAAACGTGGGTGGAATCGCGCTGTGAAAATGTCAAAACGTACGATCGTGTGTTTAGGTGCCAGTCATTTAAAAAAAAAAAAAATGCTGTTTTTTGCTTGCAAACGTGCCGCAATTGCGCCAAGAAAATGTGTTGTGCGTCCCATGATTTTATTTGCGCACTTGCGGCATGTTTGTTGCATGGAAAAATGAAGAGTGGTTGCAGAAAAAAACGCAGTTCGTTTTCAAATCGTGGACAGAATCGCAGCGATTCCACCCATGATTTGAAAAAACTGTGTGAATGGAGCCTTAGTCACTGGTCACACCGCTGTGATTTGTGTGTGATGTCTGACTTTATTGCACCTTGTGAAGATTTTTTAACGATTTCTTGTCATTTGCATTGCGGTTTCCATTAATGTTCTATGGATGTGAAATCGCAGTAAACTGCAGAAAAAGTAATGCAAGAACTACTTTAGAAATCGCACTGCAGCAAATCGAACATGTTAAGACACTGACATTCACATTCATTAGATGCAATTTCAATTCGCAAATTGCACCTGTATGACCGGGCACTTAGGGTCACTTGGGGAGGGTCATGCTTGGCTTTGCTAGACCTGAATATTTTGTCTAGGTCAGTGGTTCTTAACCTTGTTGGAGGTACTGAACCCCACCAGTTTCATATGCGCATTCACCGAACCCTTCTTAATTGGAAAAATAAAATATGATTTTTAAAATTCAAAACATAGGTATATATTTAGGTATATATTTATACATAGGTGCACAAAATGAACAAAACCATTAAGAAAAAAGAACAAAACCATTAAAACATGATTTTCACACAAAAACAAAAACATAATAATGAATATTTACTGCACGAATCATATGAGTCGGGTGTGGGTCTTCACCTCCGCCGAACCCGCAAGACTGATTCACCGAACCCCTGGGGTTCGATCGAACCCAGGTTAAGAACCACTGCTCTAGGTAGTGAAGATAGGAAATGAATAACAGCCGGGGTTAGCAGACACCTTTTCATATTTTTGCTCCTCACATGTTCCATTTAAAGTAGGAATTCCGGGCAAGGATGAATCCAATAAAATAATGCCACCCTCTCAGCTGATCATGTTGGGTTTTTTTAGGGTACGGTTTGAAACCGATTACTACACTCCATGGTTTTGCGACTGCCAGCTGTTCATTCCTTCATTCTTCAGTGCTAGGTGAGCACTTTTCTGTCACCATCTACACAGCAAGACAAGCAGAGGCCGAACTTCTCTCTCTGCCAGTGTATATTCGGTTTTCGATCGTTGCTAGAAAAACTAATAGTGTATTCTTCCTCAGCTGAGAAGGGCACAATTTTAAGGGCTCGTACACGGGACCTTTGGAAAACTATTCTGACTGCTGGAAAACGTAGGTTAAAAACCGTCAGTTTAGCTGCGTTTGCATACTGCATTTTATGCGCATTTACGTTTAGAAGCGTTTTTAATAGATATCCTCAGGAGACCCTCCCAAATGCCCAGAATGCACTGAAAAATAGTAATTAACTATTTCAGACATTTTTGAGAGAAATAGAGTAGATGCAGAGAGAGCAGTATGTGTTGAGAAGACCTGTCTTTTCTGGTTGTATTCACTATGGATCCCATCATGAGCATAATGCAGCACGTTCTACCATTTTTTTTCCTTCGCAAAACCTGGAACTGACTGCGCTGGTGTACCGGGTCCATTTGAATACATGGAAAACACTTTGCATGCATTTTTGATGAAGAAAAAAGGCTCTGGACAGCATCTGGATGTGGACCTGTCAAAAAAACGCGTCCAAACGCAAATGGTTGTAAACGCAGCTAACGGCGTTTACAAGCTTTTGGTGTTTGAAGCGCCGGTAAATATCTACTCCTGAATGGAATTTTGGTGCGTTCAAGGAAATGACTGTAAACGACTGTGTACATGGACACCTAGGAAAACAGAGTTCAGGGGCTGCTGAAAAAAAGCGCTCAATAGCTTCTGAACGTCAGTTTAGCAGCTGTAGTGTTCATGAGCCCCAAAGATTTCCCTATACTTTCTAAAATCTGTAGCAAAATTCGTTTTGTTTGATGTAACAATTTGTTTGCTAGTATTAACTTATGAGTCCTATGAATAGTTTGAGTTGATGAGAAATAAATGGAATGTTTTACTGTATCCAGGCCCCTCCACCCAGTATATTTGGCAGAGAAAAAACTTTTTTAGCACAAATAATGGTTCTTGTGTCTGACATGCAAGTCTGTTGCCTTAGGGTTCCATGTACACGGGACGTTTGGCAAACACTTCTGAACGATGGAAACTGACTGCTGGAAAATGTAGGTTAAAAAATCTGTTTAGCCGCGTTTGCGTTTACAAGCGTTTTTAAAAGAAAAATCAGGAGACCTTCCAAAATGCCCAGAATGCACTGAAAAACAGTAAAAAAATTAACTGTTTCAGATATTTTGAGAGAAATAGAGAGCAGAAGCAGAGAGAGCAGTATGTGTTGAGATGACCTGTCTTTTCTGGTTGTATTCACTTTGGATCCCATCATGAGCATAATGCGGCACGTTCTACCATTTTTTTTCCTTCATGTAAAACCTGGAACTGACTGCGCTGGGTGTACCGGTCCATTTGAATACATGGAAAATGCTTTGCATGCATTTCTGATAATGAAAAAAGCTCTGGACAGCATCTGGATATGGAACAGTTAAAAAAACGCTTCTAGATGCAAGCGCTTATAAACGCAGTTGGCCGCGTTTACAAGCGTTTGGCGTTTGAAACGCTGATAAAATCTACTCCTGAACGCAAGTTTGGTGCGTTCAAAAAAAATGACTGTAAACGACGATGTGTACATGGACACATAGGAGAACATTAGGGAGAGTTCAGGGGCTGCTGGGAAAAAAAAAAACCGCTGAACAGCTACTGAATGTCAGTTTTCAGCTGCAGTGTACTTGAGCCCTTAGTTAACTTGTCTGATAATTTTAGTTATTCAATATGTACAATAGAAATGACAGTTTTAATCTGGTCACTGTGGCCAACACAAAGATTGCACTTTAACCACAAGCCTACTGGGCACTTATACCTCCTTCCTGCCCAGGCCAATTTCCAGCTTTTAGCGCTGTTGCGCTTTGAATGACAATTGCGCGGTCATGCAACACTGTACCCATATGAAATTTTTATCATTTTTTTTGTGACATCTTTATTTTGGTGGTATTTAATCAACTCTGGGTTTATTTTTTCTTAAACCAAAAACCACTGAAAATGTAAAAAAAAAACCAAAAAAAAGTTTTTTCTTAGTTTTTTGTTATAAAATTTTGTAAATAAGTGATTTTTATCCTTCACTGTTGTGCGCTAATGAGGCTGCAGCGATGGGCACTGATAGGCTGCACTGGTAGGTGGCACTGATGGGCATTGACAGGCATCACTGATGGGCACTGGTGGGTGGCACTGATGAGCACTGACAGGTGGCACTGCTGGGGATACACTGATAATCGGTGCTCTGTGATCAGTGTACATGTCCCCTCTGTGGCATGCCGATTACCGGCTCTCCTCTGCTCTGTCAGCGTGACAGCTCGAAAGGAGAGAAATGCCGATAACCGGCATTTCCCTATTTACATGTGATCAGCTGTGATTGGACACAGCTGATCACATGACTGAGCCGACATATTCGGCTCTTTCCGTGGATCGGTGATCTGCTGTGTCCGAGGGACACAGCGCACCGCCAATCGCCGTGCTCCAGGAGCCACGCATGCGCGGTTAGAATGGGAGGACGTCATATGACGTCCTCCCAAAACGAGATTACCACCTTGCGTCCGTCATTTTACTATATGGCTTGCGGGAGGTGGTTAGTGATCCTGCCTTAACTGAAGAACACCTTGTGAAGAATAAAGCTCTATCAGTGCCATTTTAGCGGCTGCTTTGTTAAAATGCCGCTGCTTTGCTTCCCTCTGGCTGCTTCAGGTATTCGAGCGGTTGGATGGCACGAATACTGCTTTCCCTTGATGTGCGCTGTGGTTACTTCTGTAGTGACATATAAGACAATTGGTGGAAGCGCCAGGTTTAGCGGGGGAGCAGGTATTCTGCACACGTTACGGGTGGGCAGGGACAGAAGCGGTGGTGTTTTAACAAGTGGGCCTCTGAAAAGGTAAGTATAGGATCTCCGCTTTTAGTAAAAGTTACCATGTGGGTGACGGTGTCACTTGAAGAATTTTTATTAATTTGATCTTTTGATTAGTGTGAGTTGCTTTGCTTGAGGCAGAACTTGTTTCAGGCTCCATGCATACTGCCTTAAAAAAAATCCGGTGCCCTTGGCAAAATGCTAATTTTGAGCGTTTAGGAGCATTTAGCAAAACGTTTTTTTTTTTTTTCTCTGCCTTTAAATGCTGAGCTTAAAATGCCTCTAGACTACTTAATGGGCATGGTCACATACTGTAAACTGCCAGTAAATGGGACAAAAATGTTTCCTGGGCTTCCTCTGGTGCAAGGCTTAGCGTGGATTTTACCTCTTTAAAGAATCACGTTTTCACGTACTGAAAAATGTGGGAATAGGAAGTCTTTTGAAAATGAGACCTTGATTTTATTGCTTTGTCCTGAAGATTATTTCAACATGGGATGCAATATTACACTGTCATTTAGAATCTGTCTTACTTGGCTGTCAACTTTGATTTTTTTTTTTTTTTTTCTACAATCTATTTTGTGTTTCAGAAAAAATAAAAAAAAAAAATTTTTTTGTTTTTAGGTCCATTATGAATCAGGAAAAACTAGCAAAACTTCAGGCTCAGGTCCGGATAGGTGGTAAGGTTAGTACTTTTTCTGCTTTGTGTACTTGATCATATAAATTCTTGGTTTGCTCATTAGATTTTGATGGTTCAACTGACACCAGAGAAAATTTGTATTGCGAGGAATTAGAAGTACCTTTTTATGCTGGCTTTATCTGTTTTCTTCCTGTCTTGGTTACACCATCACACACAGAGAATGTCACTGGTACAAGATGTATTAATTATCCCATTTTACATATAGACAGTGGTATTCAAACTGGATTTTAATTATCCACTGATATCATGAAAAGAGGGTAATAGACTTGCAGATGATCCTTAAAATATCCAGTTTTCTACTAAAGAGGAACTTACAATAGACTTAATGGTTGTCAGCACTGTATGTAGCATGTTGTGGCAAAGGATGGGAACTTCCTCTCCTGCTGCTCGAACAAAATCAAGTTGGGCTGAGCACTGCTCAACCATTCACATTTTGAATGAATATAAAGCTTTCTCTGATTGGATGAGGCAGGCTGATGATGTCATGATCTCAGCCAATTAGAGGAAACTTGTGTTCATTCAGAAAATACAACACTTCCTGTGAATGCATGATAAGCTCTCAGCCCAACTTGATTTTGTTCCAGGAGTGGGACAGATAATATACCATATACAGTTGCAAGAAAAAGTATGTGAACCCCTTGGGATTACATGGAGTTTTGCATGAATTGGGCATAAAATGTGCTCTGAATCTCATCTAAGTCACAACAATAGAGGAACACAGTCTGCTGAACATAATACTACACAAACATTAAATGTTGCCATGGTTTAATTGCACATAACATGTAAACATTCACAGTGCAGGGAGGAAAAAGTATGTGAACCTTTGGACTTAATAACTGGTTGACCCTCCTTTGGCAGCAATAACCTCAACCAAACATTTCCTGTAGTTGCAGATCAGACCTGCACAACGATCTGGAGTAATTTTGGACCACTCCTCTTCACAAAACTGTTTCAGTGTAGCAATATTCTTGGGATGTCTGGTGTGAATCGCTCTCTTAAGGTCATGCCACAGCATTTCAATCGGATTGAGGTCAGGACTCTGACTGGGCCACTCCAGAAGGCATATTCTGTGCTGTTGCAGCCATTGTTTTGTTGAATGACTTGTATGCTTTGGGTCATTGTCCTGTTGCATCACCCATCCTCTGCGGAGCTTCAGTTGGCGGACAGATGGTCATAAGTTTTCCTGCAAAAATGTCTTGATAAACTCTGGAATTCATTTTCCCATCAATGACAACAATCCGTCCAGGCCCTAAGGCAGCAAAGCAGCCCCAAACCATGATGCTCCCTCCGCCATGTTTTACAGTGGGGATGAGGTTTTGATGTTGGTGTGCTGTGCCTTTTTTTTTTCTCCACACATCGTGTTGTGCGTTCTTCCCAAACAACTCAATCTTGGTTTCATCTGTCCACGATATATTTTGCCAGTAGTGCTGTGGAACATCCGGGTGCTCTTTTGCAAACTTCAAACGTGCTGCAATATTCTTTTTGGACAGCAATGGCTTCCTCTGTGGTGTCTTCCCATGTACTCCATTCTTGTTAAATGTTTTCCTTATTGTAGATGTGTCAACAAAAATGTTAGCATGTGCCAGAGATTTCTGTAGGTCTTTAGCTGACACTCTGGGATTCTTCTTTACCTCATGCAGCATTCTGCTCTGTGCTCTTGCAGTCATTTTTACAGGACGACCACGCCTAGGGAGAGTAGCAACAGTGCTAAACTTTCTCCATTTGTAGACAGTCTGTCTTACCGTGGACACATGAACATCAAGGCTTTTGGACATACTTTTGTAACCCTTTCCAGCTTCATGCAAGTCAACAATTCTTGATCGTAGGTCTTCTGAGAGCTCTTTTCTGCAAGGCATGGTTCACATCAGACAGTCTTTCTTGAAACCAGTAAACCCAAAACAGGTGTGTGTTTTTTAAGGGCAGGACAGCTGTCGGCAACACATCCAATATAATCACACTGATTGGAGTCAAGGTTGGCTCACTCCTGGCTCCAATTAGCTCTGGGAGAAGTCATTAAGCTAGGGCCTCACATACTTTTTCCTCCCTGCACTGTGAATGTTTACATGTTATGTGCAATTAAACCATGGCAACATCTAATGTTTGTGTAGTATTATGTTCAGCAGACTGTGTTCTTCTATTGTTGTGACTTAGATGACGTTCAGAGCACATTTTATGCCCAATTCATGCAAAACTCCACGAGGGGTTCACATACTTTTTCTTGCAACTGTATAGCTAAGCATACATACAGTAAATAAAGCCGCTGCTTCTGTTAGTGAAGCTAATAGTTTGTTTGGACCGGCTTGGTTCAGTCGCTTTAAAGCAACAATATACAGTTGGGCTTTTACCCCCGGTTCACATCTATGCGGCCGTGCGGGCCGCGCTTTGCACGAGAGCCCATTCATTTGAATGGACTCCCGTGACATGCAGGGAAAGAAGTCCCTGTACTTCTTTGGCAAACGCAGCCAGCACGGGAACCTCAGTTCCCAGTACGGTTGCGTTTTCCAGTGCAGGCGGCGTGCCATTAGATGTAATGGCACCCGCCCGCGTGTCCGCATTTCTCTGCGAATTTTCGTGCGGATCCGTATCGGCACCACCCGCACAGATGTGAACCTAGGGTAAAGGATAGGTTCACCTTTAACCATCTCCCGTCCGGCCGTTGTATGTAAACGGCCAGACGGTGGCACTGCAGGGTCGGGTGGCCGTTTATAAACTGCCTCCCCACACCCTGCTTGTGCGCGCAGCACCACGATCCAGTGCCCGTTGTGTCCTCCCGGACACAGTGAAACACCGATCGTCGGACGGGACCTCTGTATGAGGTCCCGATCGTGATCACTGATTGGCCAATCAGTGATCACATGCAAAGTAGTAAGCAAGATGTCACTTCTGACATCATTGCTTACTACATGTGAAATCTGTGAATGATCAGAGGTCACATGGTACAAGGCTATTCAACACAGCCTTGTACCATGTGACAAGCTGTGACCAATCACAGCTCACTCAGTTCTCAATGGCTGCAAGAATGAAGACAGAGAGAGAGAGAAATGGGTATATGGGTGTAAAAGCAATCAGTGTAAAAAAAAATATTCATCACCCCCCACAAGTAGTACAGTGCCACTATGGTGACACTGTACTGCTAGGGTGACAGTATGTAAAAATAATTTTTGGTTATAAACTAATTTGGCTTTTTTTTTTTTTTTTTTTTTTTTTTTTTTTACTAAAGCGAGAACGGAATAAATTTTGGCCAAGATTCATGATGAAATAATTATATGCAAATTTTTATAAGAAAAACACTTTTTTTCAAAATTGTTGTACTTTTTCATTTACATAGCAAAAAAAATAAAAATCCCAGCGGTGAATAAATACCACCAAAATAAAGCTTTTATCTGTATAAAAAAAAAAATGGTAAAAAATTCATATGGGTACAGTGTTGCATGACCGCGCAATTGTCATTCAAAGTGTGATGGCGCTAAAAGCTGAAAATTGCCCTGGACAGGAAGGGGGTAAAAGTGTCCGGACTGGAAGTGGTTAAGAACATGTTACACTCATATTTCGGGTATAACATTCTCCTATGCACCCAGCTCTCTCAATGTATCTCTCTCTATTCAGAGAGGGGGGGAAAAAACCAAAGGGGGGCGGGCTTCACATTGACTGATCACTGCAGTAGCCAATCAGAGGCTTTAACAGCAATCACGTGACCCAGAATCGGGAGTCCCAGGTCCTGATCGTTACAATGGTACCCGGGGCTCTCAGTGACACCCCTGGTATTTGTGCTGGGAGCAATATGCGGCACGCTCCCAGCCCACAGACAAATATGCAGCCCCATGCAAAATAGCCCAGTTCTGTGAGGTTGCATATTTGTCTTACGTTGGCACCAAGGGGTTACAATGATTTAATGCGGAAACGAAACCCTCTGATCCAGCCAAGGAAGAAACCTAGAAGTATGGTGGCAGAAAAAAGTGGTCCAAATCTTTTTTTCTTTCCTCTTTTTTTTTTTTTTTTTTTTTTTTTTTTTTTTTTTTTTAATATATATATATATATAAAGGTGAAGGTCTATGCTTGCCCCAAGCAGGTTTGAATTCACTTACTATTGACTGACTAAGCTGCCACCTTAGTCTGTTTGGTCTGCAGTTGCCATGGTGCTGCACGTGTGATCAGTTATGACACCAGCCTTTCGATGGCTTGACAGATTGGTAGAGAGCGTAAAGTTGCTGTAACAGTTATCAATCGCGGCATGCCTTGAATATAGCGTTTTTCAAAGTTGGTTAAAGGGATTCTAAAGTCTAAACATTTTTACCTTAATGCATTCCTTGCTTTAAGGTAAAAAAAATGTTTAGGTAACAGTATGTCCCCCCCCCCCCTCCCTTATTCTTACCAAAGTCTTCACTTGATCCAATTTTGTGCCAGTCTGCAACGGCTCTCTCCTCTCACTTCCTAGTCTCACAGGGTTCGGTGAGTCAGGGGGAGCCATTGCCGCCTCCTGCTGTCAGCCAGATCTTGTGACTGGGGGTGGGGTGGAGCCAAGCCGCTCTGTGTGTGGCTATGGACACAGGAAACATGGCTTGTGAGTGAGCCCACAGGTATGCCCTTAAAGCCAAGATTAGGAGGGGCCAGGATCACTGGCATGGGACCCCAATCACTGTAAATTCATGTATTCCTCTTTAACAAAGCAGGACCTGCAAAAGAATATACTTTTCTACTAGCTTGTCCTGTCTGCCACAGTTCTGATCTTCACTAGTGCTAAGCGTCAACCTTCTGTTGGTTCTGTGGTTCCTTCTGCCATCAGTTCAGTACACAATAGTAACTTAGGGGTCAGGAAGGAACCACAGTGTTCTGTGAAGGATGCAGAGATCAAATACTCCCAAGTGTTGAATGTGAAGGTTCTTGTCTCTCTAGAATAGAGCAAAGATCCAAGGAAAGAAATGGTACAGCGTTTCCCCTTTTGCTGATCCTTTCCTTTGTTACAGACTTTTAACCAGTCTTTAACCCATACTTTCTGCCTGCCTTTTTAACATTACAGTATATTGAAACTTGATGCTTCCTAGAATTTTTGTTTCCGTACTGTTTTTGCATTTGTCAAAAAATCCTTTCTGTTTTTGCTTTTCTTAGGGCACAGCCCGCAGAAAGAAGAAGGTTGTACACAGAACAGCAACAGCAGATGACAAGAAACTTCAGAGTTCTCTCAAGAAACTGGCAGTAAATAATATTGCTGGAATTGAAGAGGTAATGTTTGGGATCAAGTGGAAGTGGAAGCCTGCTCCTGTTCTGCCTAAGCCAATATTTCATGCTACTTGTGTCCCAGGCAAAAAGTATTTTACTCTGGTATGGTAGCTACAGCTTTCACTGGAGAGAGAGAGAGAGATATTTTTATTATTTATTTTTATTTTTTTTTTCCGAGTGACATGACCTAAACATCTTTAAAAAAAAAAAAAAAAAAAAAAAAAAAAAAATCAATATAATATCCATGAGTATTATTACCATTAAAGGGAAACTATAGGTGCATAACTTTTTTTTTTTTTTTTTTTTTTTTTTTTTCTTTTCCCAGGTAAATATGATTAAAGATGATGGCACTGTTATCCACTTTAACAATCCCAAGGTTCAAGCATCCCTTTCCGCCAACACATTTGCCATTACCGGCCATGCAGAATCTAAGCAGATCACAGAAATGCTCCCAGGAATCCTAAGTCAGCTGGGTGCTGACAGCCTCACAAGTCTCCGCAAGCTAGCTGAACAGTTCCCTCGGCAGGGTAAGGGACCTTCATTGTCATCCATTTTGCCTGTCTCATTAAGGAGATTTCCTTGACTGCCTGTTTCAGAGAGACTGCTTGAAGTGAGAATAAATCTCTCCAAAGTAAGGGAGGTCCTTGCCTAGCCTTAGTCACTAGAGCAAGTGTCTCATTGAAAGATTTCACTACAATTCATGTTGAGGTTGTAACCATAAATGTGGACAGTGGTTGTCCGAGCATTTGAATACTGATGCAGACAGCAATAAAACACTGTCTGGGGATCTAATCCCTACTGTATCCAAAACAAAGTGTGTTTTGATTCTCCCTAAATGTTCATCTCTAAACAGCACGTAGCAGTTTAGACTTATTACCCTGTTGCCTCCAGAGGATTCCCTGCCTTCCTTACCAGACATTTTTTTTTTGCGATACGGCGCTGTTACTTTTACAATTGCGCGGTCATGCAACGCTGCACCCAAATGAAATTGACGTCTTCCCCCCCCCTTGACTTGACTTTTTGCTATTAATGTCCAGTAAAAAATTTTTTATCAAATTTAGGCCAAAATGTATTCTGCTACATGTCTTGGTTGTCTTCTTTACTAGTAATGGCGGCGATCAGCGACTTTTAGCGGGACTGCGTCGGGCATTCTGACACTGGAGGGAATTGATTTGGTGTCACTGACATCCCCAATGACACCAATACAGTGATCAGTGCTAGTAAAAAAGCACTGACACTGTACTAATGGCACTGGGCAGGAAGAGGTTGTTTTACTGCGTGGGCTGTGTCTGTTTCACTGTAAGCACACTGCTTTGTATGACTCTGCAGACGGGAGCGATCTGTACTGTTCACATACAGGTCTCCCCTGTCGGAGATACTTGGCGATCACTGGCCGGGACTTGGTGATTGACAGCAGAGGCTGCGAATGGCAGCATGGGTAGAGCTCACACGTACCCCCTACCCGGAACTGCAGAGTCACGTATATCTATAGGTGATTTTGCGCACACCTGCCACCCTGTAGCAGTATTTCTGTGGAGGGGAAGCGGTTAATTGAGATGCAAAACGTTTGTCCACACGTTTGTTTGAAGAGCATTGGGCATTAGTGGGTTTTCTGTGTGCTATAACCTAATATTTATATAGAAATTCCCTCCTGCGCTTATATGGAGTATTACCTATACAATAAAGCAGCTGACGCTCAAACTGATACCTTTAACAGTGAGCAAAACTATAATAATATAGTGCAGCACTAATTCAATAATCACAACACACTAAATATAAAGTGCAAAACATGCAAAATATTCACCCTTCTAATAGTGATATAACTATGAATGTGTAATACATCATATAATTAAAACAAAACCCTCATTCATATAATGCAAATCGCTTATATATATATATAAAAAAATGACATTGTGACCAATATAAACGATAATCAATCAAAACATTTTCAAAAGGTCCATAAATCCTCCAAATAGTGCTCCAAACAGCAATAACTCATGCAGAGTGATAATAGTGATAATGTCTGTACCAGGTGCAGACTGACCATTCGAGCACTTGGACACTGCCCGAGGGCCTGGGGTCAGTAGGGGGCCCCATGAAATGCCCCTGGTACACTTTTTTTTTTTTTTTTTTTTTTTTTTTTTTTTTTTTTTTTTTTAAGCTTTCTTTGGGTGTGATTTGAGTATGGGCAAGGACAACGGAGCCCCATGATCCCCTATTGCCTGGGGGCCCCATGAGTTGTCACTGCCCCTGATCTGTACTCCAGGCCTTCCAGGATAGATACACCAGCTAGATATTTCCCTCACCATGTATCCTGGTGAGAGAGAAAAAGATCCTCCATAGTGTAGTAATTAGGGTAAATAAAAAAAAAAAAAAAAATGCCCACTCATATTTTGTAGAAATCTTGTACAATCACATAAAAAAACCTCATGCCTGGGTGTACTGCATGGGTTAGGATTCGTCTGCTTGTGCAAAGATCTATGCGTTGCGTCACTCAACCATGTGACTTCATCAGGATATCTTCATAAAGAGTCTTATTTACCCTAATTACTACACTCTGGAGGATCTTTTTCTTTCTCACCATGGTACATGGTGTATCTATCCTGGAAGGCCTGGAGTACTTATTTCCAACCTGAGAGGGGGACTACAGGTGACGTACTAAGGATACCAGCCAGTATTGGAAAAGGATCTAGGAGTGATCCTGGAGGCGTAGTGTCCCATTGGGTCGCAGAATGGAGGTGAGGGGGCATTTTAGCCACGGAGGATGTGTGCTGACACCTGCAGAGACATTATCACTGTTATCACTCTGCATGAGTTATTGCTGTTTGGAAGCACTATTTGGATGATTTATGGACTTTTTGAACATTTTTTTTTGATTTATGGTTTATATTGGTCAAAGCAACACTGGTCATAGTGTCATTTTTCTATATAGGGGATTTGCATTATATGAATGGGGGTTTTGTTTGTAATACATCATATAATAATATGTAACATTCATAGTGTGTATTATTGCACATTTTTGAAGTTTAAGGACCTCAGTTTACACCTTTTTTGCGAACACTTTTTGTTTGAGCACTTTTTGCACTTTATTTATATATAGAGTGTTGAGTTATCACTTTTTTATAAGGGCTGAATATTTATTTGCATGTTTTGATCTATTGACATTGATTTAGCATTGCACTATATTACTTATAACCTAATATTGCATTTGCATGACGAACACATATATGAAGGAAAGCCTTCAGTCATTATTGTGCAGACTAAAATGTTTGGCTTCTTATTTAGCTATATCTGTTTTTACCTTCTCAGCTTGAGTCAGGGATTGAAAGGTTACCTGAAGTTTGACATTGCTTGCCATTTCAACTGCCTCACCTTCTCCCAGCTTCTGAGTGTTCGGTGTTTAAGATTGGGTTGTTCATACAGCAGTTTTTTTCAAGGCTCCAGTAGTTGACAATATACTCAATAAAGCTATTAGGGAAACATATTCATTCTCTCTATATACACTATATTGCTAAATGTATTTGGACACCTCTCCAAATCATTCAGGTGTTCCAATCCCCTCTATGACCACAGGTGTATAATATCAAGCACCTAGGCATGCAGACTGCTTCTACAAACATTTGTGAAAGAATGGGTCGCTCTCAGGAGCTCAGTGAATTTAAACGTGGTGCCGTGATAGGTTGCCACTTGTGCAAGAAGTCCATCCATGACATTTCCTTACTACTTAATATTCCACAGTCAAGTGTTAGTGGTATTATAACAAAGTGGAAGCAACTGGGAACAACCGCAAATCAGCCACAAAATGGTAGGCCACATAAAATGACAGAGCGGGGTCATTGCATAGTGAAGCGCACAGTGCGCAGAATTTGCCAGCTGTCTGCAGAGTCAATAGCTAAAGACAAACTTCGTGTGACCTTCAGATTAGCACAACAACAGTGTGTAGAGAGCTTCATGGAATGGGTTTCCAAGGCCGAGCAGCTGCATCCAAACCTTAATCACCAAGTGTAATGCAAAGCGTCGGATGCAGCGGTGTAAAGCACGCCGCCACTAGACTAGCAATGGAGAAGTGTTCTCTGAAGTGACGAATCACGCTTCGTGCTTCTCTATCTGGCAATCCAATGGATGTGTCTGGGAATGGTGGTTGCCTGCCTGCATTATGCCAATTGTAAAGTTTGATGGAGGGGGGGATTATGGTGTATGGTTTTTCAGGGGTTGGGCTTGGCCCCCTAGTTCCAGTGAAGGGAACTCTTTAAGACGTCAGCATACCAAGACATATTGGACAATTTTATGCTCCCAACTTTGTAGATACAGTTTGGGGATGGCCCCTTCCTGTTCCAACAAGACTGCACACCAGTGCACACAGCAAGGTCCATAAAGACATGGATGAGCGAGTTTGGGGTGGAGGAACTTGACTGGCCTGCACAGAGTCCTGACCTCAACCCAGTAGAACACCTTTGGGATGAATTAGAGAGGAGACTGTGAGCCAGGCCTCCTCCCCCGACATCAGTGCCTGACCTCACAAATGTGCTTCTGGAAGAATGGGCAAACCTTCCCATAGACACCCTCCTAAACCTTGTGGACAGCCTACCCAGAAGAATTGAAGCTGTTATAACTGCAAAGTGTGTGTGTGTGTGTGTGTGTGTGTGTGTGTGTGTGTGTGTACTTTTTTGTATTTCCATGAACAGAAATTTAACTTTCATTGAAACTGATCAGATTTGATTCTTGCGTAAGTGGAGTTCTGAGTAGTTCTCTTTTTAAAGCTTGACATGCTCAATATTTTTTTGTAAGATGCTGCAGACAGAATCGGTCACCTGCTTATGCAGTCTCCTATTCCGTTGTATTTTCATATCTTTTATACTGCAGAGAATGCAGCTCCTTTGCTGTAGCCATAAGGGCTGCATTAGGGATAATTTGGTGACCTGCTGGTTGTTGGCGGTTTAAAAATAGTTGACAGCTGCAATGTACACCCATGCTTGCTACTAACACCATATGCTACTATAAATGTGTTTTAACTAGGTTAGGGACAGCTGTCTACAACCTGCATGCTTCAGATTAGTCATTACATTTCTTACAACCAGTTGATTTTCTACATTTGCCAGTTTTATTTCCACTGTTACTAGGTGCTATTATAACAGGCTTCTGTGTTTTCTGTTTTAGTATTGGATAGTAAGGCACCTAAACCAGAGGACATAGAAGAGGAAGATGATGACGTCCCTGGTAAGTAAATTATTATTATTATAATAGAGGATTTATATAGCGCCAACACTAAAAGTACTTTGTGTAGCCTGTAAACTCAAATATTCAATCGTGTTGCTCCTCCCCTCTTTTCCTGTCTGTCACCAATGTTTCCATTAACATTCCAGTGTGGAATTCCAGGGAGTTAGCAGGTGTGGCTTACCAGTGGCAGAGTTTGTCCTGGGCTGTACATTGAGGGCTGCTGAAATAGTAATGCTTTTAGTATATGAACTGTTAACATTAACCAAAAATGTAAATTTGTATATGCTTTAGAGGCAGAAATTATTGGAGTTTACAAGGTTTTTGCACTACCACAGAGGTTCCTGCCTTTCTAATCCCTGTCAAACT